TTTCATTTCCTTCCTCTTCCCCACTTCTCTCTTCCCTTCCCTTCTCTCTTTCCTTTCCTTCCCCACTTCTCTCTTTCCTTCCCTTCTCTTCCCTTCTCCACTTCTCTCTTCCCTTCCCTTCTCTCTTTCCTTTCCTTCTCTTCTCTTCCCTTTCCTCTTTCCTTTCCTTCCCTTCCCCACTTCTCTCTTCCCTTCCCTCTTCCCTTCCCTTCCCTTCCTTGTGCCCTTGAGTCATCTTTGACTCCTGAAGACTCCCTGGACTAGTCCCTAAAGCCTTCTTGGAAAGATTTCAGAAGGCGCTTGCCATTGTTCTCTTCCTGGGGCTGAGAAAGAGGAACTGGTCCAAGGCTACACAGCTGGCTTGATGTCTCAGCTAGGACTAGAACTCACAATCTCCTGGTTTCTATCTTGATGCCTTAATCCAGTGTTTTCCAAACCTGGATAAATTATCCCAAATGGGGTAAAACTGCTTTTACCCAGTTTGGAGTAATTTAGACTGCATACCGCATTCTAACCAGAGCTGTGGTTGCACAGTGGTTAGAATGCAGTATTTCGGGCCAATTCTGCTGATTGGCATTAGTTCAATCCTGACAGGCTCAGGATCCTTCCAAGGTTGATAAAGGGAGGACCCAGATTGTTGGGGGCAATATGCTGACTCTGTAAACCGCTTAAAGAGGGCTGTAAAGTGGTATATAAGTACAAGTGCTATTGCTATTTCCTTTCTGTAATAAATGGATGGATGGATTCATGGATGGATGGCCTGCCCCAAACCAAGGAAGACCCACCATCTCTGGAAAATTGATATCATCCTCGTGTAAAGAATCTGCTACTCACTCAGAATCCTCTTCACTGTAATTTAAGGCTCAACTCCTGGTCCTCTAGGATGATTGAGGTCTTCTTTATCTTTCATGCCAGACCAACTTCAGGCATCAAACCAAAAACATGGTAAAGTTTACAGCAGGGCTCAAACATACCCAATTCCTCTCCCTCCCCTCTCTCTGTATCTCTCTCCCCCTCTCATGGTATATCTCTTCCCCTCTACCTCTTTATCTCTCCCCTCCTTCTCCGTATCTCTCCCCCTCACTCCTTCTCTATCTCCCCCTCTCCCTCCCCCTCTCTTGGTATATCTATCCCCCTCTCCCTCTCTATCTCTCCCTCTCTCTGCATCTCCCCCCCCTCTCTCCAGGGCGCCTCGTTTCCAAGCTGCCGACCGCCCTGAGCTGAACCGATTCCAACTCGGATCGACTTTTTTTTTTTTAATTCTTCTCCTGCCCACTAAAACTCCACAAACGTCTCTTCTGCAGCCTCCCTTCAAAAGCCAAGCGACCAAGTTTGCGCACCTGAGCGTTCTGCCTGGCGGGGAGAACCTCCGAGCCGGACTTTTTTGGCCAGCAAGCAGGTGTGGGGAGGGGACCCGTGATGGGCCAGGTGTGAACGGAGTCCACGCGGGCAAGCCGCCGCTTCTTCGCTGGGGAGGGGAGCGTCGGGGAGAGGAGGGGAGGAGAGGGAGGGAGGGAGGGGGAAGAGAAGGAGGCTGGTACTTCTTTAAGTGGGCGCCCAGGGGAGCCGAGCCGAGAGCCTGACGTCAGCGGGCCATCAGCTGACCGCGCTGGGTTCTGCCCTTCCCAAGCGAAGAGGCGGCTGGGCGAGGAGAAGCCCGGCCGAATCGTCCCTTCGCCGGCTCGGATTTCCACCGACCGTTCCGGGCTGCAGGGAATCGAAGCAAAGCAGCCGAGCTCGGCCAGCAGACGGCGGTCCGGGGACTGAGGGGCCAGCCCGGAGCGCGCAGCAACTTTGCCGAGAGCCGGAGAGGGGGGGGGGGTCGGTTCTGCAAAGTCCTGCCCCCGGGAGAGGCAAGTGTTTCGGAGACGAACCTGCCTCGGTTCGGTGGGGGCCGTCCCGACGCTCGCTCGGTCCCGTCCGGTATCTTCCTCGGCTTCTCCCCCCCCCCTCCGCAGCCCGGCGTCTTGAGGGAGGCTGGCGCGGCGGCTGTGGCGCGTGACTGGGGGGAGCCGGCTGGTCCACCCGCGGCGTGGGAGCGCCAAGAGGACGGAGGGCGGCGGGTTGCAGGAGCCGGTGATGCATCCCGCCGCCTCTCCGGCTGCGGAGGAAACGGCCGAGTAGCCCCGGAGCGGATCCATCCAACAACCACCACCCCACCCCCCGCCGCCTTCGGCTCCGACTCTGCATTTGGGTACAGTCGCCGAGCTGGAAGGGACCTTGGAGGTCATCTAGTCCAACCCCCTGCTCACGCAGGAGACCCGTCCTAGGGATTCGAACCGCCGACCGTTCTGATCGACAAGCTCAGCCGTCTTAGCCACTGAGCCACCCAGCCGACCACCCGACACACAGACACACACCCGCCCCCCGCCTCGGGGGAGGCCATGCCTCGCTTCAAGATCTCCCGCAAGAAAAGGAAAAGTCCTCGCTTTCTGCCCGTCGGGGACCGCTGCAGCCTTGGGGGGCCATCGGGGCAGGGCGGTCGGACGGACACCCGTCCAGAGATGACGCTCCGGGGCCGAGAGAGTCCAGCCTTGGGCCGCCTGCCTTGAAGCTGCTCGCCCGCTTCCCGGTTCGTGGCTGGAAGACGAGACGAGACGAGCCTCCGCGACCCTCGTTCTTGGGGCGCCCTGCCTTGACCGCGGCCGTTGGCTTTCCCTCCGTCGGGGCCCCCACCGTCGCTCGTCCAGTCCCCCCCACCCTTCCTCCACCCTTTCTCCTTGCTGCACCGATGTCGCCGCTTTCCAGCAGCCGCTTGGAGAACGACCGAGATCCCAGCACTTACGGCCGCCTCCAGCCTTCCCAACCTCACCTGGATAGAGTCGGGGGTCGCCGCTGGTTCCTCCTGCTCGCCTGTCTCCTGAGCCCGTAACTACTTCCAGCCCTGGAGGAGTTGCATGCGCTCCTTTATCGTCCTTAATCTTCCCGGCGTGTGCTTGCAAAACTACTGTATGGGCTTGCTCTTTTCTTCCAGTGGCTTGAATTCCGTCTAAGGCTCGAAGGAAACTTCAGGAACTTCAAAGGATGGGAAATCCTCCTGCCTGAAACTTGGAAGGCTGCCAAGAAAAAAAAAAACTAGAACGGGGTGGCTGAGAATGTAGGATGGGAGCTTCCCAACTGCCCTCTTTGGGGATCTCCCCCTCCACACCAACCCAAAAGTGCCCAGGTGTTTGTGGCCTTCACTGACTTTGGGTGTTGCCTCCATGGAAGCTACCAGCCAGGACTTGAACACCTGTGGCTTCGGTTCCACCTAACCAGACTTCCCACCGACTTCCTTGCCCTACTCTTCGTCCTGCCCAGCTGACCCTGGAAGCCGAAGGGGATGCAACTGGCCAAGCCCCAGCTTGCTGCCAAGGTATATCCAGTGCCAACAAAGGCATGGGGAGGGCTCTGTCTTCTGCCACCGCTGACTGACCTTTGATCCCCCTGCCAAGGAGGTGGGGGGAGGTGAGGAAAAAGCCAGCTGCCTTTCAATGTGACGGGACCTCCCTCCTCCTGCTCCAACCTCTCACCCGCGATGGAGCTGTCCGAGGTACGTTGCTTGAGCGACAGCGACGAGTTGTACACCATCAACCAGACGCCCCCTAGCGGCAGTGCCCGCTCCCAACGCCTGCTGTGGCAGACTGCCGTGCGCCACATCACGGAGCAGCGTTTCATTCAAGAGCACTGCAGCGGCAAAGCCCTCGACGCCGAGGAGTCCTGCTGCCCCAACCACAGCCACCCTTCCCGGCGCCAGTCGGCGGGCAAGAGCCTCAGTGGCCACAACAACGGGGGCACCAAAGTCTTCCCCGAGCGCAGCAGCAGCAGTGGCGACCTGGGCTTCCTGCACCTGGATTGCGCTCCCAGCAACTCCGATTTCTTCCTGAACTGGGGCTACACCTACCGGGGGGTGATCTTCCCCACCTTACGCAACTCCTTCAAGTCCCGGGACTTGGAGCGCCTCTACCAGCGCTACTTCCTGGGCCAGAGGCGGAAGTCGGAAGTGGTGGTGAACATCTTGGATGTGCTCACCAAACTGACCCTCCTGTTGCTCCACCTGACTTTGGCCTCGGCCCCCATGGACCCCCTCAAGGGCATTCTGCTGGGCTTCTTCACGGGCATTGAAGTGATCATCTGTGCCTTAGTGGTGGTCAGAAAGGACACGACCTCTTACACCTACCTGCAGTACAGCGGTGTGGTCACCTGGGTGGCCATGGCCACCCAAATCTTGGCTGCGGGCTTGGGTTGTGGCCTCCTTGGCGATGGCATTGGCTACGTGCTCTTCACTCTCTTTGCTACCTACAGCATGCTCCCTCTGCCCCTCACCTGGGCTATTTTGGCCGGCTTGGTTACCTCCCTCCTACAGCTCCTTATGCAGACCTTCATCCCTAGGCAGGTGGTGATCTCCATCAACCAGGTATTTCTTGTGGGTTCCTTCTACTTCTTCTTCTCCCCTTCCCCCAGTTGGGCAAGTCGGTTCACCTCTTATTCAGGGTTAGTTGGAAGCGGTAGCAGATCCTTGCTAGAACAAACCTAACCAGGACGCTCTCTGGGCATCTCCTGCCTAAGACGTGTAGGATTCTGAGATCTTGGTCTGAAGTTATGGGTAGGGAGAGGAAGAGGTTCTTCTGTAAAACACAACAGGAAGGCTCATTCCTCTGTGATACGGATGGCGGCTCCTAAAAACAACGTTCTTTAGAAAAGCAAGTGTGGTTGGTAGCACTGGTTAATCAGATGGACTTTTTAGAATAGTGTCCTTCCCAAATCTCATTTTCCCTAAGTCGATCCTTCCCAGCTATCATGGGAGTTGAAGTCCAGCATCCACAGGGAGCATCGGAATGGAGGGCAAAGCCACAAAATATATCGGCGTCCCATTCTTCTTTTATGGACGGCCAAGAAAACGCACACAAGGTCATCCCAAGTTGGGCTTCCTGCTTCTGGGCTGCCAGATCATTGCGGAGAAATATCCTACATAGATTCCCAGCTGAGCACAGGATTCCTACACCACAAATGCAGCTGCTTTAATCTGGATGCCCAGATGCAGTGGGTCTCCGAGTCAACCCTATACCTTCCCCCCCCTCAAAATAGTCTTCAATGCCACCAAGGCCAGGAGGGGATCTGCTCATCACATGGGAGTGTGTACGGATCCAGACCTTTAGAAAAGGAGGGAGGTTATTTTGATGTCCCCGGATAATGTCACGTAATCCCCTCTCCTCTGAGTTCTCATTCAATGCTGCATTTGGTCCCTGTAGTATTTGATCAATTATTCAGCAGAGTTCATCAAGTGGAAGAAGAGCTGTTTTGAGAGTAGCTGTATATATACTCTGCTTGTCGTGTGTGTGTGTGTGTGTGTGTGTGTGTGTGTGTGTGTGTGTGTGTGTGTG